AATCCATACTTAGGCAGCGAAATACAAGCAACTGATTTGAGAGGGCTACATTGGCAGTGGGTAGGGCACAGGACTGGGACTATGAAGACTTGGGGTTTATAGCTGGTTTAGCCAGTCCTGCCATGTGACTTTTGGAAAGTCACCTCATCTTTTTCATGTCTCTGTTTCTTTTCCCTTTCCCTTTCTGTGTTTGTCTTGTGTCTACAGATTGTAAAGGATTCTCTTCCTATGTGTATGCATAAAACATAGCACAGTAGAGATCTACTTGTGGCTGGAATCCAGAGGCATAGTGAGTTCCTGCTACACTCTGGGCAAAATGCTGACCACAGTCGGGGAAGAGGGAGTCTTACTTGTCCCAGCTATCTCTACACTCTGGTAGCAGCTACAGGTTGTATAATAGTCTGGGCACAGCCTGGTATAGCTGAGGAGCAAGCTCACTGTATGATGGCAGCAGCAGAGGCACCAGAATGCCCTTTTCCCTACAGGAAGTCTTTGTTATGCAGGTGCAGCTGCATACTACTCAGCCATTGAAGCCAGGCAGCCCTGCACCCCACAGTGTATGGGATGGGGGGGAGCAGAATGGCACTCCCTTCCCTGCAGGATTTGGGCCACAGGAGACAAAGCTCTGCTCTCCACCCTCCCTAGCTATGCTACTGGGTGAGAACAGAGGACCAGGAGCACCCATGGCCTGAGCCATGCTCTCTGCAACCAACTGCATCAACCCTGTCGTGCAGGCTCCCTAGAGGCTGCCCCTGGTGCCCTGTTCTCACCCAGTAGGTTATCTAGGGAGGGTGTAGAGTGGAGCTGTGGCTTCTTTGGCAAAAATCGCAGGTGGGGGCGCTGGATAAATGACCAACGCACGGGTTTGGCATACCAAGGTTTATTGCATAATATATGGATAACTGAGGCAAACTTACCAGTTTATATGAGAATCACTCTTACTCATTCACACTATACACACTAAGTCACCTATCCACAGCATTAGGAGTCACACTGTGGTGGCCAGTTGGAGGCTTCTTCAAGGCCATGTTAAGTTGGGAGGGGTGCCGGCTTCAATTCTCTTGATGTGCGGGTAGGCTAGTGTGGCTGGTTAAGGCATCCATCCAGGCTCAGCCTTTGCTGTCCTTTTATTTCCATGGAGCAGGCTTAGATGAATGCCTGGAGATTCCTTCACCAATCACCACTCAATTCTTCACTTGTGCTTATCTTTTAGACTCTGTTACCAGTTACATATTGTTTTTACATTCCAGTATGTTTTTCAGTTCTTATTCATATCATCTCCACATGCTCAGATCACCACCTGCACTTCATCCTTACGGTTATCTCTGTTTGCTCTAAATACTTTGTACCAGTCTGTCTAATATCTGTTGCAATAATCCAGCGATCAATTATACAACCACATTACACATACACACCTCCTTATTGCTTCTTTTTCTACAAAATGGAAGTACATTTAAAATGGCAACTTAGCATAAGCATAATCATAGCATAGCTATCTAAAACATTCTAACTGAGGTGTAATTCTGCTCCCCTCCATATATTATATGGGGCTCAGAACTATGTGGCTTCTATGGCTGGGAGGGGCAGGGCCATGCCTGAATAGCAAAGATTCTCAGCCTCCCTTCCTCCTAGCCCCCTGCCAGTTAAGCTACTGCTGGAACACAAAGGCAATACTGAAATGCACGTTTTAAGGTTTTTAGAAGTTGATGGGTACTCTGAATTCCATTAAGTTTAATGGGAACTGGGAATACTCACCCTTACTGAGCACGTCTACATGTGTGCTTTAATGTGCCATTGTCTATTCTACTGTGCATTAAAGCAGCGCATAAAAAACCACTAATATACTAATGCACAGTAGAATAGGCTACTGCACATTAAGTAGCACCTAAAAAGCATGAACTTGTGCTACTGCACATTAGCACTGCATATTGAACATTTATTTGGTGCCTTATATTGGAGGTACTAAATTTAATGTGCATTAGAAAAAGCTCATTAATGCATCTGTAGATGCACTCACTGAGAATTAGCTTTAAAGTCTTAGTTGGCATCTTCACTATGTTCTTAGGCTCAACCATGTAAGAGAGAATGCTTGAAAAATCTACCATCACAGTCAGTTGTCAACTGCATGAAAAACAGGTTTGTCAGCATGAGTTGCCATGGTTCTAGATGAGCCATCACCACTATTGTAACCAATAATGAGACTACTATTGCAACCCTCAGAACTCTCTAAAAAGTTCCCCCATGACCAACTTCTGAGAAGTTTCCTATAGGAGATGTTGCCTTGCTTTGCTGCTTCTCTGGTGGCCAGTCCTGGGAAGCTGTTTACATGTGCACCCTGTTGGGAGAAGATTTGCTTCTTATAGAATTAAGTAGATCCAGGCCTGCTCCTGCCCTGCTCTAACCTCCTGCAGCAGCAAGGGGGAGCAGCAGGATCTGACTGCAGTTGCTTGGGTGCCAAGGGGCTCCTGGGGGAGTGGGGGGAAGGCTCAGGCTGGGAGTGGTTTCTACGGGGGGGGG